GTAGCCAGTGGAGCTCAATGAACAGAGGGGTGACGTGTGCTCTTTTTGGCTGATTGAAGACCAGACGCGCCGCTGCGTTCTGGACCATTTGAAGAGGTCTCACAGTACAGCCTGGGAGACCAGTTAGAAGGGCATTGCAGTAATCGAGGCGGGAGATGACAGTAGATTGCACCAGGAGCTGGGTGGCATGTTGTGTTAGGTATGGTCTGTGTAGCGTCAGTGCCCTATACACTGGCACTACCTGGTAGCTGTTGCGGGTGGTCTTTACGTGTGCTTAAAGAAATGCAGCTTGAGTTTATTTCCGATGATGTTTATTATTTTGTCTGGTTCCAAAATGTCCATGATGATCCATTTACAGCAGTTAAAGTGGGTTTCAGTGAATGCGTTACTTGCCCCAATGACAGTCCGCAGAGTCCTTTACATACAGCCACAGTCCTCGCCACACAGTAAAAAACTGTTTGTCCCATCCAGCCACACCTGAGTCCAATCTGTGTTGGCTTAAGTAGGCTGGTGCTTCCACAAGCAATTAACCAATAACATGAGGCCAAGCCTCCTCTCAAGTGCACAAAAAGAAATGACACATATGGCTCCTACAGTCTGATCTTTCGTATGTTATTCAGCGCAAAGCGGCATGAACGAGCAACAGAGGCAACATGATCTTAAAGGTCAGGTGTTCATCAATCACAACACCCAGATTTCGAACTGCCTTTGAAGGAGCCAGAGATAGGAAGTCATTCTGGATTGAGATATTGTGCTGTATGGATGGTTTTGCTGGGATGACAAGTAGTTCAGTTTTATGGGCCATTCCCATCTGTACCGGGTTGGCCCGGGCCGGGTGCCCCAGTCGGCCCCAGCCTGGCCCGGTTGATTCCACACATGCTTGTCTTAAGCCCATGTGGGCTGATTCTACCCACCAATCAGAGGCTTGCTCTAATGGAAGGTGTGAATTTGCTGTCAGCAGTGGGTGTGTTGGCCCTGGTCGGCCTGAAGCAGACCCCCTCGAGAAGAGGGCTGAGAATGAGCCTTGGTTGGCCCGGAAAAATACCAGGCCACCCAGATATGTAAACAACCTACCCTACCCGGCCTGGGCCGACCCGGTACAGATGGGAATGGCCCATTAGAGAGGTTGAGTTGGAGATGGTAGGATTTCATCCATTTTGATATGTCAGAGAGACAGTTTGATATTCGTGCAGAGACAGTGTGGTCGTCCGGTGGAAATGACAGATAGAGCTGGGTGTCATCTGCATAGCAGTGGTAGGAGAAGCCATGTGATTGAATGATCTCACCCAGTGAGGTGGTGTATATGGCAAAGAGAAGAGGTCCTAGTACAGAGCCCTGGGGGACTCCTGTGGCAAGGTGGTGCACGGTAGAGGACTGTCCAAGCCAAGATACGCTGAATGATCGTCCTGTGAGGTACGATTCAAACCAGGTTTCTGGTGAAGGTACTAATCCTGATGCTCCATCTGGATGCTTTATGTACGGAAGTGGTTTGATTTTCAGAATAACCTAAAATCTATAAACTCAGATTCATACATTTAGTTTTTATACAAAAAAGTAGTGGTACAGAAAACAATAAAAGTTTTTGAATTTAAGTTTATGCTGATTAAATTTGCTGATGCTAACACCACACAGAAAAGCTGCCTTTGAGATTCAAACCTGCAACCTTCTTGTTGTGTGGCAACAGTGCTACCATGCAGCTGATTTCTAAATCTGGGACCTAAAACTCTTCTTTGATAAAACAAAAAGATAACTTTTTTTATGCGTTTCCAACTCAACAATGTGGCATTTTCCTGCACCACTAGAGAACTTTTGGTTTTGAGTAAAGAGTTAATTATTGAAAAAGGTAGCGACTTTCTCAGGTTTTGGTTTAGAGCTCAGGCTGTCGGACCGTCCTCTCCAATGAAACCCAAAACAAATCTACAGCCTGACTTTCCATCAACAGTGTTTCCATGGTGACCGCTCATATTTAGACTCATCTGAGCTACTGTGACCCCAGCTGTACAGCTGGCATTACAAATGGCCACAAAGCTGTAAAACCAGAAGCAAAATCATGGGGAAGCAAACAGAACGAGTCACATCGGACTGTGTGGAAGATCACGCTTCAGGTGTGAATTAGAGGAAGTTTTTTATCATGTTGTTTTACAGGAAAATGGAACACCTCATCAGGGAAGAATATCAAAATATCTGACTGTTTCTGAAGCTAAATGAACATCAGATGATTGTTTGTAGCTAAAAGGTGACTCAACTTTAGAAATTCAGACGTAAAACAACATGTGGCACTGATTCTGGTTAAGATATAAAACTAAAACAACAATAAACAAGGTCAAAATACCTCAATCTAATCATTATAACGATTTTAACAATCAGCCAAACCTAAAAAAAAAAGATGAGAATTGGAGAATTTCCTTTATGTATTGTGTTGTTTCATGACCCACATGACGCTGAAATAATTCTATTCAGTAATCAAATCATATCAGACTGCAAAGTGTATTCAAATGTTCTCATTTCCAACATGTAAAATGATAAAAAGTTAAACTACTGAAAAGTATCTGGCGTCTGTTTAAAGTGAACAACTTAACTTTGGAAAAACAGATGAGTCGACAAGCTAACGGCTAAAGTGGATTGTTACCATTTTAAAATAACTCAGATTTCAAAACCTTCATAGTGGTCCATGGAACATTTAAGACATTTCACCAGTGTTAGTTTCACAATACAAAACTATTCATGTACAGATAATAATCATGTCTTATGTTCTCAGATACTGATAAAGCTAGCAGCTGATAAATTCAAGCCATGTGATGAGAAATTGATGGGTTAATAAAACAGTGGTCTTGCAATAAATTATTATTAACTAGTTATGATCATTAGAAGTGGCGGCAGCTCTCCCCCTCTCCCCACCTTTTCTTTTCCTTTCTCTTTCACCTCTGTCTCCGTGTCTGCAGTGGCGTGTCCAGCTCTTTTAAAATGGGGTGGCCCAGGTGAGGCACAACTTTGTGCATGGGTGGCACCAATGGTTATGCTTTTTTTGTTTTACCCCCAAGCCTTTTTTTGGACAATGAAAAGCCCATTTAAAGTTAAATTAGTGTGGTGGCACCTGGGGTGGCCAATCAGATTCCAAGGGTGGCATGTGCTACCCCAGGCCACTCCCTGGACACGCCCCTGCGTGTCTGGTCGGAATTACAAAGCATTCCAAAACAATAACAACAAAGTTTTAAGTATCAGGCGTGACATTAAAAGCAGACGCTTTAATGCTCCACCTGAGAGTAAATCTGTAAGGCGTTACCAGCATTCAGACATCAATTCTGCTTGCTTCACAGCCAGACAGGACACGGTTAAAAAAAAAAGTGGCGGCAGCTAGCTGTAGCAGCAGCTAGCTGTAGCTGCAGTCAGCAGTTGCAGCAGCTAGCTGTAGCAGTAGCTAACAGTAGCAGCAGCTAACAGTCTCAGCAGCTAGCAGTAGCAGTAGTCAGCTGTACCCTTAGACTGGTCAAAATCACTTCACTTGCAACAAAAACTACTTTTCTTTTCTTTAAAGCCCAAACTTTATTTATTCTTTAATATTTTAGTTACTAACTTACATTAATCGTTTCTGATTGGCTGGAAGGGCTCTATTTCAATTGGCTATACCATTTAGCAGCATGCACTGCCACCAACAGAACAGCTGTTTTGGGGGATTTCTGTAAATAAAATGTGAACTTAGCGCAATAATAACCATTCTGTCCTGTTTTGCAAAATAGTTTCTTTCTGTTTCTTTTCTTTAGAAGAAATCTGAAAAATGTGAATTCATAATAAATCTTGTTGCATTTGTAACACTGTTGGATTTAGATGACTCAAGCATTGAGGTAATCTTATTAAAGCAGAGTACATGGGATAAGCATATGTGTGCCTAAAGTCAAAGTGAAGTAAACTAATATTTACTAACGCGTTCCCATTTAGAATAAACTATATTTTTTCTCAGTTTTACACAGCGGGCTCTCCGTGAACAAAACCAATAAACACCATGTATTCTTATAAAGTAAACAAAGGATTTGTTATTTTCCTTGCATGTTGTTTGGGATCATTAGAATCTTTGTAGACATGAAAGTGTAAGATGGTGAACTCAAATAAAAGTTGGCAAGAACTGCTCGGACTTTTAAAAAACTGGAGCCGTATTAAGATGACAGTTTTTTAGGTTGTCTCGTCAGTCTGGTCTAAGGTAATTGTTTTACTTTAAACTGAGGTCATTCAACATGCTATCTGCAATAGATGAGTATTAACTCTTAAAGTCTCTATAGAAATCCACCTTAGAAGATCTGAACCATAAAACTAAACATTTATGACTTTGTGAAGTTTGATTCTTTCATGTACTTTTGTGTCAGTTTAACAAATCTCGACTTGTTTTTCTCATTATATCAAATTTCAACCTTAAACCTTGGATTCATTCAGTACAATAAATCCTAGGATGTCGCAACTGTCCCTGGAACTGACGCCATATCTGTAATGGCATTGTCACAACAATAAACATTGGTACAGTCGTTAGGAGCTCACAGACTTATGTTAATATCAAATTAAATATTTTTCAATACAAAGGCTTGAATCTCACAGTTGCCCACCAGTTTACAGCTGCTACACACAGTAGAAATGGTGACCCTGCAGTGGAGAGGACTTACACCACTACTTTAAGCTGGGCGTTTACTGTAAACACAGTATAAAGGGCACTGTGTAACTTTGCAGGCCCATGTTAAAGAAGGTAAATACAGTTTAACCTGCTTTAACTCTTGCACAACACGCACACACTGCAGACCTTTTGCATGCATGTAAATAATAAAGAAATAAGAATTTTGGGCTTTCTCTCTGTGACTGAGGAAGTGATGCTAGTTTCCTCTTGTCATCTAATCTAGATTATCTTCCCCTGCAGGCAGCACACAAACAGGCTGGAACGCTCACAGCAGGAGGTACAACAACACCCAGACTCAGGTACAAGAACAAAACCTGAGGTGTAACAAACCAACGGGTCCTACCTGAGTGACGGGATTGAGAAGTGGAGTGCAGGTCAGGAAACCAGCAGTGCTGTTGTCTGATCTTTAGCTGAGGAGAAATGAGGAGCCAGAATGCTGCAGCGTCTGTAGAGCATCCTCACCACTTCCCTTCATGCTTCTCTCCACCCACCTGCTGAATTATCCTTTTATGAGTCACTTTTAGTTTTATCTATTACAAACAGCGTTGCCGGGAAAAACTTGTCTGCCTTTGAAACCTAGGATGCAGGAACTGCTTTATGATCCCGTAGCAATAAATGTCCATAATTTTTAACAAACTGAAGAGAAATGGAAGCTGGAATGGGACTTATTATACAAATTTCCCCTTTTCCATCCTTTTGTGGGTCTCTAATCTTTTAACACTCCAAACCTGAAAAAAAAAACTGTTTTCTGTCAGTGTTTGGTGTCAGGAATCATTTATCTCCCCTATTGTGATGTCATAATAAGGAACATTAGCATAGATCCCCGCCCCCTTTTGACGCTGGAGGAGCAGCAGCTTTAACGTTCCCAGATATTTGAGTTCCTCACCCCACCGCAGCCAACTGAGCTCCTGGAGTTGACGTCGTTTCTCCCTGCATGCAGCAGTTCAAATCGAACGGTGCCATCTTGGCAGGCAGTCGCCCGCAGTTAAGCTATTGTCATTTGCAGAAAAATGGGAAACGGGAAATATGATAGATACCTGTTGTGCCCCAGGATGCCATAACAGACACGGACGAGATAAGGGAAGAGCTGAAATCCCCAAGATCTAGAACACAACAAACACTGGATCATCGCAATAAAGCGCGTTAGTGACCGGGCTAAAATGAAACTGTGGGATCCCGGGAGCAAAGGCTTTTGCATAAGCAGCGACCACTTCATATCAGGTAGTTAAACCAACGTTTCCTCAATTGTACATGGTATTTATTTTAAATGCTTTTATTACGATTCTTAGTGGGCTTCCTAAACTTATTTGGACATGACTTTTTCTGTCTTGCTTCTCATAGCAACAAGTAAATATCACGTGAAACTTTGCCTAATCCTTTATGATTTCTGCATGCTGCTGTTTACGTAACCCCGATTTTTTCCTTTTGTATCCCTCCTGGCTTTTGTATGTTCTTAGCAATGCTTCGGAGTCGGACGAGGGGAAACTAATCAGGAAATTGTAAAAGTCAGGGTATCTCAAATCCGGTGAAAGGTCCGCTCCGACAGCTTCTGGAGTTTTAAAAAGTATCCCAGGGGCACGGTAAGGATGGGAGATGTTTAGTCTATTTAATTTCCGAGTACATAAAACCATATCTTCGATTTTAAAATGCGAAGTAAAATCCGACGGAGTAAAATCCATGCCGGTCCCATTCATTTCGTTTACATCGATGCCTGCCAGCATGGCGCCTACGTAATGTATGGAGCTCTGAGTGGGCATGGCCAGCAACAGCTTATTAGCATTAAAGTGCCAGAGTCCTGAAACGGCTCATTCTGGAGGGTACTGAAACTGTCAAGAATAAAACTGGTGAGATCACTTTATGTGAGACCAGAGAACTTTTATAACTTGACAAAAATATCTCCCCCCTTTTTTTTTATTATGGAGTACTTTTTAAAGATGAACTTTACGTATATTTAATACATCTGCAGTGGTCTCTGATGGGAATGAATGGAATGAAAGGGCATTTGTTGAAACTTCAGGGTAAATTCTGGGAGGGGGAAACTGACCAAGAGATGCGACGGCCCGGCCGCGTCATTTCAAATCATAGGATGTCCAAGGAAGGCCCCGCCTTTCTCTCTCCTGTTTGGCTGGAAGGGCTCTCCTACGATTGGCAATTTCATGTAACAGCAAACATCTTCCTTCGCTGCAGCATTTTTCTGCACCCAGATCTTGAGGAGTTGTTGAAGAAAACGTGAACTTGGCGCTATAATAACTATTCTGTCGTGTTTTGCAACAAACTAGTTTCAGTTACTTTCATAAAAGAACCTGAAAAATGCCAAATCTGTACTTGAAATAAATCTTGTTGCATTTGTCACACTGTTAAATTGACTTTATATATATTTGCTCTTAAGCATTGGGACTATCTTATTACTATATTTTATATCTTCACTTTCATAGGTTAAGGCTGTTTGCAAGTAAACACACATCTCATCATCTGTTTTAATGTGGTTAAATAATTTAATCAACATTTAATGCAAAGCTGATTATGATTTCGACCTATTTTCACCAGTTTTCATTATTCTACAAGAGAAACAGACCTGCTGCACACAGCTGGGCAAAATAGGGCAGTGTCACACATATGCTTATCCTATGTACTCTGCTTTAATAAGATTACTGAGTCAACAGATATATAGTAAATCCAACAGTATCACAAATGCAACCAGATTTATCATAAGTTCACGTTTTTCAGGTTTCTTTTAACCCTTCTGTTGTGTTAGGGTCAAAATTGACCCGTTTTCAAGTTTAACTGTGTAAAAAGTACACTTTCCTCTTTTGTCCTGGAACGAGGCTTCATCTGATCCTCAGACACACCTATTTAAATGCAGCAAAATCAATTTTCACAATTTTAGTAAATTCAAAAGGTCTCAAAAATGAACAAGTTACATCTGTGTTGGTTCGGGTCTAAAATGTGTGTGTGTGTGTGTGTGTGTGTGTGTGTGTGTGTGTGTGTGTGTGTGTGTGTGTGTGTGTGTGTGTGTGTGTGTGTGTGTGTGTGTGTGTGTGTGTGTGTGTGTGTTGCTAGTGGCTCCGCCCTCTCGGTCTGCGAGGCAACAGCATTTTCTGCATTCTTCAAACAGGAAGTGGGAGTGGAGTGAGACTCTGGCAGGGGGTGACTTGCTCTTTACAAAAAGTCTTCTTCACTCTAAAATTATGTGTATTTTTACCGTTTCACCTTACATGCAATTCTTACTTCGTAACTACAAGTCATGGATGCATTGCTGATGACCTGTCCTTTCTGCATTTCCCTTCAGGAAAATGCGTAAAAGTGTGATCAAAGATCTGTTTAAAGTCTGGTTTCAGACACAGAACCCTTCAAAAGTCCTCGAGAGTTACGAACTGACGTTGATCAGGATCTTCTGCTACTGGAATTCTTCTGTCACTGATCTGAACTCAGTAATTGAGATGGACGTTTTCATCCATTGAGACGTGGAAGGATACATTCTGGGACCTAATGTCTAGTAGAGACCAGTCTCACATTCTGGGTGTACACCGTTGGTTTAATATAGAGCTGAAGTCATAGATGTTGGTGTAAATTATATTTGTTTGTTGTCATTTTATGGTATCGTTTAAAATAGGTTAAATATTTTTATTTATATGTGTTACCACATAACGGTAAGTCCAGATTGAACAGAAAATCTTTTATTATTTTATTTTTCTTTTTAAATTCCTTTCAATTAAGTGTATGTAGGTGAGAGTATTCTTTTAATTGATTGTATGTGCCTACGTGTTTTGATGCTGTTTTATGGACTATGCTGACACGTGATCGAAGTTCCTAACCGATAAATAAAGTTTTGATTTGTGCTCCTGCCTCCTACTGGCCAGGATGAAAATAGCACTTAGGCCATCCGTTTTGAGCAAATGGTTGAAACAGGATTATTGACTAGGCTCACAAAGTTGGCTGTTATATTTATTTGAGTATAATTACAGTTATAGTTGACTTCATCTGTAAATTTGAAATTTGACTGTCTGTACCTTATTTTAAAAAAATATGAAGATGATAAATGATGACCCGCACTTGTGTAGCACCTCTCAGAGTAAGGACTCCAAAGCGCTTTACACTACAATGTATCATTCATCCATTCACACACACTGATGGTGATGAGCTACGATGTAGCCACAGCTGCCCTGGAGCACACTGACAGAGGCGGAATAAGATGTTGGAATAAAAAGTTAAAAGTTATTATTACCTTAATATGGATATTCCTGTTTTTACTAATTATTAATGGGCAAGAACCTGGTGATACGAGATAAATCACAATACATGACACAACTTTTAACTAGTTGGCATGATGAACTGAAGTCGACTGGTTTTAATTTGTGAAGTGACTTGAGACAACTCTTGTGATTTGGCGCTCTATCTGTCAGTGCGCCCCAGGGCCACATTCTAGCTCATCATCACCAGCATGGGAACGTGTGTGCGTGTGTGTGTGTGTGTGTGTGTGTGTGTGTGTGTGTGTGTGTGTGTGTGTGTGTGTGTGTGTGTATGTGTGTGTGTGTGTGTGTGTGTGGATGGTTGGATGACATATTGTATTGTAAAGCATCCTAAGAAGACCCTATACAAATACAGACCATTTACTATATAAATAAATAAACTGAAACAGAAATCAGCATGGGACATAATATTGTGATACTAGATAATATTTTGGATTGGAAGTTTCAGACACTTCCAAGACATCCTGCGTTATTGTGAGATTTTGCGGTTCCATCAGAATAAAGGCAGAAAACATTGCTGTCATTTAGCGGTCACAGTTAAAATTACACCTTACAGAACAATACAGTAAACAGTCAAGGTAATAAACATTTGTTTTAGATTCCAGGGAGTTTCAATACTTTATGTTCACACCACTGTTATTATTGTCTAGTGTTTTTATTCTCATGACTCTTTTGTGTCTTATGCTTTAGCGTGTCATATTGTGCTCATTTAATTCGATATGATCTGTACAATGTCTTTCTGCCACCGGACCTTGTAGTAACAGTACTTCCCCAGCAGATGACAGTAGCGGGACTCTTGAGACGAACGCTTACGACAAAAGAAACGAAGAAGAAGATCCTACGGTAACGATGAAGCTACATTTTAGCTAGTCGTTAGCATAGTTATATTCTGGCTGTTCTAACCGGATGGATGATAAAAACACCTGGTTGTTTTAAGGTAAATTAACTTGGTATAACAGTCGGTGAACCTCTGAACACGTATGTTTATATAACCGTTCTTTTTGTAAGGAGACGTCGTTTCTTAAGTTAGCATAAAGTAGCAGTGTAGAATAACATTCGGCTATCGTTAAGATTTTTTGTCGATTGAACTTGGATTTGAAACGTTGATTTAAAGGTTTTCAGTTCTAGTTTAAATCTAACTATTTTTGGTGAAAAGTTAACGTTAGCCGAGCTTAGACATGACGGTCGAAGGATGATTGTAGGCCATGCTTTTCTAAAACACGATGTCTTTCACATCAAGTTCTAAAATTGCTGCACACTGCCTTCTACTCGCATGTCTTGTTTATAACAATGTTAAAAATGGTTTCCTGAAAGAACTTCTATTGACAAGTCTCCCTCTCGTCATCCACAGGTTGTAACTGAAGATGTAGCCATCAAGGTGGGACGTCTCCACTCCTTCTGTCCTAGATAAGCGGCCCCTTCCTCAGCCCTGGAGCCCCTAACCGGGGCTGCTCTGCTGCCTTCCGGCTGTCTGTCCTCAGAGGAAGGCCCCTCTGCACTCAGCCATGCTGTTCTCCTTGAGGGAGCTGGTTCAGTGGCTGGGCTTTGCCACCTTTGAACTCTTTCTTCACCTGCTTGCTTTACTGGTCTTCAGCATGATGGTCGCCCTGAAAGTGGACCTGTCGAGCCTCCATCTGAGCTGGTGGCTGGTTTTTGTCCCTCTGTTCGCTGCAGACGGCCTCAGCACCTACTTTACCGCCATCGTGTCCATTCGGCTTTACCAGGAGAACGAGAAGCGGCTGGCGGTGCTGCGGCTCCTCTGGGTGCTGACAGTGCTCAGCCTGAAGCTGGTGTGCGAGGTTCTCCTGTGCCAGAAGCTGGACGATCAAGACCAAGCCAGAGACCTGTGGTATGGCCTCATCGTTTCACCGCTCTTCATCCTGCTGCAGCTGCTGATGATACGAGCGTGCCGGGTTAACTGAGCAGAGGAGGTTTCATGAAGCAGCTTTCACATCAGTGATCTCTGTCTGCCATTAGAGATTTAAACAATTACAACAGATTTTCCTTTTCTGTCTCATTCCCACCTGTACAATATAAGAGTTTTATGTTCTGGGCAACGCTATGATCTCCTTTTACAATCAAGAGTTTTTCAAAGCTGTAAGATCAATACTTTAGTTATCATTACACTGGTTATTGTTGCAGTTTTTGTCTGTGTTTTTCTTTTTTTTTTTTTTTTTTAGAGAAACACTAAGTTATTGCAGGACCCTTTTGAGGACAGGCTGTCACTCCGATGTGGATTTGGAGCATATTAGTGCCTCTACTTTGTGCAATCAACAGTAAACAATGAGCCATAAAGAAAAATATACATTTAATAAACAAGTATTACAGTACTGTGTAGATGTTTTAAACCAGACCTCATTTCTGTATTTTTTTCTTTAAAACAGCCAAACTTTCTTTAGAGCTTTTCACAGGATTTCCGAAGGTTTTCAACGTAAATGTTGTTTGAATATCGGCCGCTTTAGTCCGTACAAAGCCAACTTTTAGGAGAATTGTTTATTTTCTAAGACCTAATCTCATAACGAAGAATATGTTGGAGTTTTAGGCTTCCTATTAATGGCAACCTGTCGTGAAGATAATTAGTTCTTTGATTAGTTCGAGTCTATAATAAAAATACAGAAAAAGAAAAGGGTTAAAAAATAGTGATTTAAATCTTAGTTAAGGGAGTGGCATGCATGAAAAGGACCATCAGCTGATTATGGGTTGTCCATACGAAACTGAAAAGTTCAAATGCTTTCTCAAAAACTCGCTCAACCTCAGATTTTTCTACAGAAATGTGTTCTTTACTCAGTTTCTTGTCCACTGATCTGATAAATTACTACTAAGTCTTGTTGTTTTGAAGCAAACGTTTAAGGAACAGAGCGATGGCTCAAGACTTGTGCACAGTGCTGTATGTTTAATGTTTAACAAGCATGTCAGTTTACCACATTTGTGAAACGTGACATCCGAGGACACTCTTGGGATTGAGATCCTGAGAAACTGCTCTACCCTCCCCAGAGGGACGTTGCTCGCTGGTAAACGGTGCATTATTTGGTGTCTGTTGCTGAAAGTGTTGCCCAGACACCACACAGCTTGCTCCCCCCACCATTAGAATGGTTTGTGGTGAAATCCACACGCAGTAGATCCTCTGCACACATTTTCTCTAACGAATTGCTGATTATTTTCACCGTGTAACGTGTTTGTTCGGTTTGTTTACCTTGTAAATGTGCTGCATGTATTTATTGCCTCATTAATTTATCTCCTGCTGTAACATTCTGTCATTATGTTGAATTTGGATGGAAGTTTTTATTTGTATTTGTTTGTGTGGATATTTGTCATCTTCGTGTAAATAAAATCTGCCTTATGAGTAATTTGACAATGAAGCTGGTGGTCGCAGACGTTGGGTGGCCACAAGGTGGCGCTATTAGATGAGAATGAAGCCTCGAGTTAAAAACGCTTTTTACCGAACCCTGTCAGCCAGTTTTTGGGTCAGTTTCTAGATAGAGAAGCAGCAAATGGCTTCTTATGTCTCAGGAAATTATTCCCTGATTTTTTAATTGGCATAAAAAGTTTTATTTCTAGAAATTTAATAGTCTGATTGAGGATATGCTGCGTAATACGTCTGATCTTCGTCTTCATCCCTCTTAAGTCATGCCACGCTTAATTATGACATAGATACATATTTGTATCGCCTACAGCTTCGGAGAATAGCCCACGTAGTGCTGAATTCATGTGCTGTAATCTAATGAGCTCATGCCAATCCGGGATCAATGCCAGATGAATAAACGGGCCTCTGTTCAGATTAGGATATATTAAAACTTTAAAAATAGCGGTAAAAAGTACTATTTAAATTACCACACGATGAGTACACGACTAAGTACCCCGTTTGTACGCTCGAAATGTTTAGAGTTGTGAAAACCTGAAAGAACGAGCGGAACTTGAATGCAACTGTTTTGATTGACAGACCTCCCTTGCCTTTTCAACAATGGAAATGGGCGTGTCTTAAAGAATCAAAGGGGCGTGATCATGAAAATAAAGACCAATCAGAATCCGGGTGGGATTGCCAAAGTCGCGCGTGCAGCGGTGAAGGGGCGGGGCCGCATTCAGGATCCGTGAGGAGAACGCCAGCGCTGTGGCAGAGGGTGAAAAGGAGAGGAGGTAGGGATGATTGTGTGTGTGTTTATCGGTCCTGCGGGTACGGTCAGAGCCGGAGTCTGCGTTTAGCGCCGCGGCAAGACCCCCTCGGAGTCTCTCTTTCCTCCTCATTCCGTTTCATCAACCCAGCGCAATGTCCGGCGGGGGAGATGTTCGCGTCCTCCGGCAGGAGGCCGGGCAAGAGAGCCCGAGGATGCCGGCCTGGAAGCGTGAAATCTTGGAGAGGAGAAAGGCGAAGGGCGGCGGTTCTGTGGGGAGCACCGTCACCCCAGAGCCCACTAGCCCCGGCGGCGGCGGCGGGGCTTCGCAGCGACTCAACGGTGAGCCGACGGAGCGCGGCAGCGGCGGAGCCAGCGCCGGGTCCGGGCGGAACTACACCATCTCCACGGCCATCCAGCACTTCTCCAACAACAAAGAGTCGCGGCCGCCGGCAGCCGATCGGACGGCATCGAAGGAGGATGACGGACGGGAGAGCCTGGTGCTCCAAGAGAGCCTGGGGCCGCTGGAGGAGAACCCGTTCATTAAGCTGGAGAAGGAGCGGAGGAGGCGGCAGGACCGAGGAGGTGACGCCGCTCGTCCCGTTCAGCACATCCTGGAGCTGTACGGCAGCGTGCCCGGCATACGGACTATCCGCGCTGAGAACATCATCATCATCGAGTCGGATCCGGATTACTTCCCGGAGGCTGGAGGGGTTAAAGCCGGGGCCAGCTGGCAGCAGAACGGCGTGGATAGCTACAGTTCTCTGAACGACCTTCTCGACCGGAGAGGCAGTTCCGTGACTGAGATCAGAGCCAAGGAAGTGGTCATTTACGACACCACGTTAAGCAAGAGCGAGGAGAACCTGAGCACCCTGGGCCGCCCGGACCCTGATGCCCCTGGTGATGATGGTGAGGGTCACGGGAGGGTCAGTAGAATCCTGCAGAAGTTTGACAGCAACTATGGGAAGCTGCAGAAGAAGTCCCACAGCACAGAAAACCTGCTGGACCTGGACTGTAGTGCCAGTAGCAGGCCAAGACACTGGTCCAAGCCACAGCCAGATCTGGTGCCAAAGCCCAGACCAGGTCTGTCTGTCAGCAGCCAACCAGCATCACCTGTCTTCCAGAGTTCCTGGTCTTCCAAACCAAAGCCACAACCTGCTGTATCGGAGCTGGGCAGCCCTCCGAGCCATCCCGGGCCCCAGCAGTCTGTGTCCTCTTTTCGTCAGAGGTTTGAGGAACGTGGGGTAAACGGGGCAGCGGTCGCCCCCAGAGACGAGTCCGACAGAGGACAGAACAAGCTAACCAGGGAGAGGGACTGGGAGGGTGCAGACACGCCCCCCAGACCCAAGGTGCCATGCTCTCCGGAGACCCGCAGTGCCCGTGCCGAGTCTTCTTTACTTCCCGTCTCATCCAAAGTGTTGCATTCCTCTCCCGAGTTTGAGATCCGTCCCTGTGAGAAGCCTGACCTCAACCAAATTCCCGATGGAGACACCCAAGCTCGAGCCCTTGCGAACTTACGGCTGCAGTCTCGAAACTCCTTCACAGTGGTCCCCAAGCGTCGCCCCCAGTCCCCATCATCATCCAGCAACCCAGCACCACCGGACCGTGTCAAGTCTTCGCTCTCGCACAGAGCAGCAGGCGTTCCTTCAACAGGGTCGCCAACATCCCGCTTCCCAAAAACCACAAAGAGGAAGGACGAGAAACCGGTGGAGCAGAAGGAACCTGAACCACCTTCTGCTGTTGCCACAAGTCCTGCTCCTCTTCCATCCTCTGAACCCTCGTCTCCAACTCCTGCTTCAGCCCCAACTCCTCCCTCTACACCTGTCCTGGCTTCACCCCCACCTTCACCACTCTCCTCCTCCATCCCACAAGCCTCTTTTGCTCCATCTCCTTCCCCTGCTGCTCCAGATGGACCCACCGTGGATCAGCTGCCAATAACCAACATAGATGACATCGAGGTGGAACCCTCTGAACGCGTTCCAGTTTCCAGCCCCGTGGCTCAGAGGAGAAAGGGCAACACCTTCACCGTGGTGCCCAAACGTTCGACAGAACCCCAGAAAAGCTCACCTGAGCCGGAAGCTTCCAGCGAGACCCCGCCTGGTTCTGCGTCGCCACAGCCGGCTCCCTTCGCTCGGCTGGGCACCCAGCTGAAGAAGCGCTACCCCGCCGTGGAAGAGATCGAAGTCATCGGTGGCTACCTGTCCTTAGCAAAGTCCTGCCTCTCCAAAACCAGCTCAGATGGCAAAAAGGTGGGAACAAGTTCAATAGTTCTTATGAGAGTGTCTTTGATGTTGGTGGTTTTGGTTTTCCAAACTTATTTCTGATTGAAAACTGTTGTTCTAGAGGGTGCATCAACCAGACCTTTCAACGCAGCAGAAGTACACACTGCTCTTGTTTTAAATTTGTTTAAGGTCATCCGTGTTTCTTGTGGTCTAAATCCAGAAGCTGGAGCATCCATGTTTTTGTTTGGTTCTGTGCACCTGTCTCCTGGAACCAAGCCGGCACCGACTGGCTAACCCTCCTCTCTCGTTTTCATATTCAGCTGCTCCAAATCTCTCTCTCGTCCAATCTCTCGACCTGCTGCAGCCATTATCCTTAAGTGGATTAACAGCGTGTGTTTACACAGCCACTCAGCAACACGCCGTGCTTTCTTCCTCGTGGATCGCTGTCCCACTAAAGCGTGTTATGTGTCTCAGAGCTCACTAATGGGTTAGGTGGCTCTCCAAGCCTATCGACCAACCAATCTCATCAAGGCTGTATTTGGTTCCTGGGGAATTCAGGGCAGCTTTAACCCCACTGCCGGGTTACGGAAGCATGTTTCCTGAAAAGCTCAGGTTCTGCTTCCAGGCAAGGATCCAGATCAGGCTGACAGATCTGATGCTTGTCTGCTCAGGCAGGTCGCTCCTGTTTCTTGTGCATTTTGGGATAAATCAAATATCAGAGATGGTTGCTAGTTTGTTGTAACTTCAGGCTGCTGCCACTGGATCGGCCTGTGTGTGATGCATGATTTTCACTGAGCTGAATCTGCAGTGAAAGCTGAATTAAAGCTCTTATTTTTAATCAGCACTGCAGTGGTTGAGCTGCATCCCACCACAACATCCTGAACACGTTTGTTCTGGTTGCAGAGGAGTGCAGAATGCATCGTGAGCTTAGTTCTATCAGTAACCTGTCCTTTACTGAACGCCGCCTGTAAACGCACACGTTAGCGCTTTAATCTGGGCCAGTTACAACGTCTCAGACTGGCCCACTGGCCCGTTTCCTTCATGCTCCCTAATCCTCGACCTTACGTAGGAAACCTGCTGCAGGACTCAGAATGTAGTCATGAAGTCTAAACTTTTGAGGGGAAGTCTGTGTGTGTGTGTGAGCGCTCAGATTAGAGGCCGGCCAATATATTCAATTTTTCTACGTTTGCCGAAATTATTTGTAAAGTCAATTTAAAAATAAAAATCAGGCACCTGTGTGGTCAACTGCCGCCACTACTAGACTGAAGAAAGGACCTTAAGGACCCCAACACACCGTTTTTTAAAATGTATTATAAAGTTGTATAAATATTAAGATATTTATTGACTTATTTAATTTATATTGCACACAGTGAGTGTTGAGTTGTTATTTTATCCACGTAGGGTCGTAAGCGGGTTCAGAAAATGGATGTATGCATGTATATGTAGCAGCACACTGAAGATACAGCACATCTTAGCTGGTGGAAGCTAACCATTAGCAACTGCTATATATATAATCGGTCTAATAATCTGCTTTAGATATCGGCCATCAACAACAAAATTCTTTAAAAATCGGTGTCGGTCGGCCTCTAGCTCAGATGTGCCTGTTTGAGGAACTAGCATAATGCCTGATCAGAGCAGAGTTTCAGACAACAGGATCTGGAGTCTTATTTCCTGATATTTGGACATCTCTTCTCTGATTGGCTAACAACCACGTGACTCTACCACTGACTCTGTTTCCTCTGCAACGTTGATGTTTTATCTCCACCAATAACACAAGCCTGGAGGAGTTCTGCTGTGTGGTGGAATTGCTAATGCTAACAGTTAGCTTCTACTAGCAGAGACGTTCTCTGGTGTTTCCTGGACGCTAAACCAACAACAGCCTTCCCCGTTGCGAGTCAAGTTGGGTGAGTCCACGAATGCTAAGTGTGACGTAGATCTGTCAGGAATTTCTAATCCTAGAGTTTCACCGTGCAGGAGAGAGGTGTAGGAGACTATTTTCATGTTCAGCCTACATGAAACACTTAGTGACCCATTAGAATCATAAATAATCATTAATCAATGGTTTTTCAGTGTTCCACACATTTAAAGGTGTGGTTCACTCATTTAATCTATAAATCTGGAGTGGTCTCTTTAGTATAAATGAATGCTTCGGTAAGAAAAAAAGCTCTGGCGCTCCTGTTTCAGGGGTAGAAGTGTTTTAGAGGAGTGGTGAGGATGTAAAACAACAGGATTTCAAGTCGTCCTCGTTAATAATTATGAAATGCAAACCTCTCTCCTCTGATTGGCTAACAGCAACACAACCTTTCTGCTGCCTTCGTTAACAAAACTCAGAATTCTGTAATGTTGGACCACGTCTTTGGAGATTTAGCTTTGTTTATTTTATCCTGAGTCGGAGGAGGAACCACTTCCTGATTGTTTGTCACTGAACGTTCCAGAATGATGATATTTGAATGTAAACGTAGGTTTTCTTCTAAAAGAACAGAACGCTTGTGGTGATCTTCATAATGCTTTGAGTAGTTGCTAATGGTTAGCTTCTACCAGCTAAGACGCGCTATTTCTTTTTCCCGTGGGTGGTCCTAAGCTAAGGTGGGCAGGGCCACAAATGCAAACATTCCCTGTGACATAGAAGAGACGGGCCTTTTCTGACTCAAACGTTTTGTGGTTTACTTCCTGTCTGCAGTGTTGGGAGTAACGCGGTACAAAAGTAATTAATTACTGTAATGCATTGCTTTTTGCTGTAATGTGGTAATGTAAGGCATTACAGGGAAAGAAAATGGTAATATTTACTCGGTACAGTTGTCAGTAACGCGGTAATTACAATGCATTTTTAAACCCAGAATCAAGATGTGGGTTTCCTAAAAATTAAAATTGCGGGAAGCCTGAAAGAAGATCCGGTATCCACATATATGACGTCATTTATGGACTCAGCTTTGCGGGCATTCTATGAGCAGAGAGGACGCAGCGGTAACGGCTCAAATACTCCAGCTGCGTCCTGCACGCGGCCACTGTTATATTCACAAAACCGCTCCACCAAAACAAGGTAATTCACCTGCGATCGTTCATATCAGCCTATATTCTCTGGTACTTCATGTACTTTTCAGCTGAGTTCATAATCTGTGCCCCGGTGATTTCAACTCATTGCTGCTGGAGCGCAGCGCGTATGAAGCTTTTATTTTATATTTTGTGTTCGGTAGATCCCTTTGGCTGATTAGTTAGAAAGTAGGAAATCTAGTTTACAGTTTTTCTGGAAGACGGAGAAAACATGCAGCATGCAGGAAGGTTAGAGAGAGAAAGGGCCGGAAATTATTCACATAACGTCAAGAAAACAAAACAAAGTGCTTGAAAAGAAAAAAGTAGGAAGATTTATCCCCAATACACATGTTTACCAGTGAAAAGCAATAATATATAAGCATTTAATATTTATACATGTGACTGAATCAGATCACACCAGAAGTCAGTCCCACATCCAGGGCCGTATCAAGGGCATTTGGGGACCAAGGCAATATAGGCTTGGAGCCCCCACCACCTCACTCCCTGCTCAGTTAATATAAGATGGCAGCATGCTGAGAGTACAGATTGTTGTTGTTTTTATTTAGTAAAGAACCTTTATTATATCTGACTGTTTTTATGTTTATGTTTATTTATTTAGCAGACACTTTTATCCAAAGCGACTTACAGTTTATAACCTATAGGGCGTGTTGTGATCTGTGGGGGAAACCGGAGTACCCGGAGGAAACCCACGCATGCATGGGGAGAACTCCATGCAGAAAGGCCACAGCTGAGTTTCGAACCTGCAACCTTCGTGCTGCAAGGCAACAGTGCTAACCACTGCGCCACCATGCGGCATGTTTTAACAGCAGTCCTAGCTCAGACACCACATCACCTTCCACTGGCTGTGTCATGAGTTCACTCAGTGTCACATGACCTAATTCACTTTGAAATTGTTTTGGTGAAAGTAACTTAAAGTAATGCAAAAGTAGTGTAATGCCTTACATTTTAAAATCAGTAATATTGTAATGTAATCAATTACATTAAAATGAGGGTAACAAGTAATAAGTAATGCATTACAGTTTAGAAGTAACTTGCCCAACACTTCCTGTCTGCGGCTGAAGCAGAAACTCGGAGTGACTAATCGTAGTATTACACGGCCTCTCGGTGAACGAGACCTTTAAACTGTAAACCAGCAGAGCTGATAAAGTTCTGCAGGTTCTTAATGGCATCCAGGCTGTGGACTTTGGTTGGGATGGTTCTGATGTGTTCCTCAGATTTGACGGATGGTTTCGGTGACTCATGCGGACATCCTGTCCTTTTTGTTCCTCGTCCTTCTCACGTGGAAACACTCTCTATTTCTATTGTTGCCTTTCTGGTCCGCTCGGTCCCCATCAGGGCTCAGATGTATTTCATTCTTCTCCGCTGGGCTGGGTCGCACCCACCGCCTGTTACAAAAGCAGCGAGGCTTGGCCCGGTCCGCATGATCTGTGAGGAATTTCTGTTCGTGGCTCTTTTTGTGTAAAACCAGCCCGTAAGACTGGCCACAGCTCAGACTTCCTGCTGCCTATTGGGACTTTTTTTCTATGGAGCACTCCCTTTTTCCATGAAACCATTTATATGAGGAGTTTGGCCCAGGAACATCCACACCAGGAACTCAGAACCTGTCTAAGCGTCCTGATTTCCATTTTCCTCCTGCAGGTTCTGATTTTCTAAACGGTTTTTAGTCTTATTATGTTTTGCTGAACCGTCTCCAGCTCAGACCTCCTTATTAATCTCGTTCCACGCTCCTTTGTTTTTTTCCGCCGCTGATCACGCACGGCTTTACTCCTGTGCAGTGGTGGTTAATAAGCCTATCCCCTGGCTTCCAGCTTCCTGTGATCTCCTCTCTACTGGGAACAGAACTGTGGAGGAGCTATGTAGGTCAAGTGCAGCTTCTTGGACCGTTTCATTCCTGCATTTGCATAAAATCGCTCCGGGTTTTTAGTGAAACACCAGCCAGGACTGACGCTGTTTCCATGTGGAGTTTGATTAAATGT